GGCTATATAATCCAGATATCCCTTGCAATGTAATGTGAAATGCGATATGAAATCCTTGGCTATTATATTTCTCTACCTATAGAGAGAATAAAAACTGAAATACTACAGAAGAAACTAGTCCAGTTGGTTTTGCGATTTGAACCCATATAAGAATTTGCTACTTTGGAAACAAACTTTGATGAGTGAAACTTGTTCAACAATATGCCACTGAATTTATGGAAAATACGAAGGCTTATACGTGTATATAAGCAGTATGATAATTCAGATTTGTGACGAAATGTTAATATAAATAAAGCCTACATTTAACAGTTACTTAATACCCACTAAAAGAGGACCATTGTGTAATCGAATTGTTTACTGTCTTCGTTACATAACCAATAAATAGCTCGAACAGGTCAGAACATAGAAAGCCACCAAATGCGATGGCCAATAATTAAAAAAAAAACTACCCACATACTACACCCCCGCCATGTTACATTGTTGTACTTTGTTTGTTTCGCTTGATGTCAATATTTCGATGGGCAGAATTTAAACTATAGTTTAATGTACACAAGTAACGACAAATACATTCTGAAAATGGGCACTCTCTCAATTAAGTTACGTAACAAACATGGCTTTTAAAATTAGATTTTTACATCTTGGGGTCCTTCCTCCCGAATACAATGTTTTGAGAGGGATATGAAACAAATTTTTGATAGATTAATTTGATATTAGATTGAATTTTCAAGATACTAACTTGAATTTTTAAAACACTAACATGAACTTTCAAGATATTAACTTGCATTTTCAAGATATTTACTTGAAACGAAAGGCTCAAGTCTGTAGTGCGCAAAGGGCATGTATGTTGTTGTTGTTTCTTAGTTGTATTTTACGTCCGCTTCCACCGTGGTGTATGGGGACCTATTCTTATTTAAGATGTGTGGATCAAAATGTTAATAACAAAACCTAGTCTTTTATATTGAGTTCTTTTGTACAATTTGGAAAATAGCTGATCACTAACGTTTGACGAACTAATGCCTAGGTCCCACTGGGGGAAAATCATCGGCGATATGGAAATAAAACAAATTTTTCCCCAAACAACGGAGTAGTCCCGTAAGAAATGGAAGTTGTTAAGCATTCGGGGTTGTCCGGGAGAACTGCGAAAAATTTCAAAGCTTTTTTTTTTTTTGCATTGGAATTTTTACCGATGTGTTCCCTACTTATCGCCGGGAAAACTGGCCGTGGAGGCATTCCTGGCGCTTTCCAGATGGATCCGCATGGATCGCGATGCCCAGTGGGACCTAGGCATTATATAAAACTAGGCTTAACAGTAACACGCGCTAACAAGTGTCACTACTTGAACTTACGCAACTTATTAATATTTCAATTGTTGATTACTTATTATTTTATCCTTATTATTTCGGCAATAATGTTTTACGTTATGCCAGGTAAAAACTTCGAAAATTCATTCAGAAATGATATAATGACTAGATGGCTTGATTTTTTAACATCGAACGGCTTTCCTGTACAGGTCATCGGGTGTTTTGTCAAAGGTATGATGATGATAATAGTAAAACTTGCTTTCATTATCGTTGAAATAACAACTTATTTCTCCCATGTGACCATATTATGATGTGTATGGTAGACGTAGATCAACCGAGGACTTGATACGCTAGTTGTCCAATAAACACTAACCGAGGATTTGATACACAAAATCATACTTTTCATTTTTCAGATCACACACTCGAAAGATACACCCTAACTGTAGAATACCGCCTAACGCGGAGCACCTCAGATCGACCCGACATTCAAATGAGATATTAAATCCGGGCTTCTGAACATCGTTATAGTCTTGGATTTAGTTAAAAAAAAAAATCCTCGGTTCAACCGAGGACGTACTCGGTTGACACAGGTCCACGATTAGAAGGTGTGTATTCAGATGTGTGTCCTCGATATACACCATATACAAACGCACACACACACACACACACACACACACACACACACACACACACACACACACACACATATATATATATATATATATATATATATATATATATATATATATATATATATATATATATTTACATTACTGAGACCAAGAATCCTATTTAATTTCAACAAGTTACGTCAATTACTACTTGTGTTCTGGTCTTCTTTCACTTAGTTAAACCGTGTGAAGGCCCTTGAGACTGAAGTTATCATCCAAACTGTATTAAATTAACATGTATTAGTTAAATTAGTAAAATGATAAAGGCTATTGCATTTCAACAATTTCCGTTTTATAATAGCTTCTAGAGTTATTTTGTTAACCATGTGAACGCTCTATCGACAACAATTGATATCAGTGTCTTGTAAGTGCTCTTCTTTCCTATTTGTCGACTTATCGGTTGATTTAGCTTCTGTGATTGAAATGAACAAAAATTAATTTCAAATATTATGGAAAAATTACATTAGAGGTTTAGCTCTTTTAAGTTAAGCTGGATCGCTAGCCTGACAAGGGCAGCTGTCTACTCCTTCGGATGAGACGAAAAAACCGAGGTCCCGTGTATACATTGGAATGCACGTAAAAGATCCCTTGGCAGTTGGAATTCGATATAAGAGTAGGGATAGTGCCGCTGCCCGGGCAAAATTTCCCTCATAGCACACTGTATGGCGTATGCCCGTCTTCATTAGCCCAGTATAGGAGCAGAACAGTAGGACGCTAAACCCCATTTCATTTCATTTCACTTTTAAGTTAAAGTAGTAACTGCTGCGATGTAGATAATGGACAGTTGAGTATTTATAAAGTGTATATAAACACTGGCTTCAATAATTAAATATCAACAGCCATTGATAAAGGAGCTAAATCTTCTATCTTCTATACTAATATTTGTGAAATGAAATGAAATGGGGTTTAACGTCCTACTGTTCTGCTCCTAACCTGGGCTAATGAAGACGGGCATACGCCATACAGTGTGCTATGAGGGAAATTTTGCCCGGACAGCGGTACTACGGCCTACTCTTATATCGAATTCCAACTGCCAAGGGATCTTTTACGTGCACGCCAATGTATACACGGGGCCTCGGTTTTTCGTCCTATCCGAACGACTAGACAGCTTTCCTTGTCAGCCTCTCCGTCCTGCATCACTGACAAGGGAGAACCACGCCGGAAAATCTGGATGAACTTTCTCGGCCAATGCAGGGATCGAACACCCGATAATATTTGTGAAGTTTGTCTGTCTGTCTGTCTGTCTGTTCGGGGTTGGCGGCTACACTAGGTCTGCCCCGAGTCTGAAATTTGGGGTATAGGGGTAGCTCGCACCGGGGAGTAACATAGGCCTGGTGGCGTTAGTCTACCACTTCCGGTTTCGGGGTTATGACCCCCGAGAGAAGCCGGGCATTCTTCTAGTCGCTAATATTTGGGACTTAGAAATTGACCCAAATCGGTCGTAACGCATGTAATGATGTAATCTGATTGTAAAAAATCGCTATATAAAATGATTTACATTCAATTGTTTCAGTTTTGACTCTAATTTCAAGTCAGTTATGTCCAGCGAAATACGGCGTGAGTCTCAACCAAATGCCAATTTCTAGCGTCTGGTTATTCCAGTCTATTGCGCATGCTCTCCAGATAAGATAAGGCGTCACCGTTTGACATGAGTTGTCGAATATGTCTAGCCTCGTTCTTTCTGGTCATTTGTTACAGATGACGACGAAACACACTATGGTACACGATTCGTGTACCAATAGTAAAATGTTTATTTTGTCTTAAATATTGGATATCAGAAGCCTACCTTTTCCCGGTAAGATTACAACATCAAAGTTACAGGTCACAATTCTATGGAATACAATTACTGCTTTTTACTGAGCGACGTTTCGACTAGGCTTCTCTAGTCATTATCAAGCTATGATAAAAAATGAAAATATGACAGGACAATATATACATGTACACCACAATGCTAAGTTAATGATGACAAACCAGGGATGTAACTTAATTACGTGTACCTAATGGTAATCTGATTTAATTGTACGCTAATAAGTAATAATACCAATTAACCTAAAAAATTGACTAATTGATTAATGGATAAGTTGTTGTGGAGTATACACAGTGATTAGTGGGTTTTAATAATACAAACGTTGCAAGAAAATGAAAATTGATGAAATGTTATCAACGACCCCTTTCACTGAAATAAATACAAATGGTAAAAGAATAGATTGTTGTGGAGTATTTACAACGATTTGATGAGGTTTTGATAATGACAACATCCCATGTCATTATCAAAACCTCATCAAATCGTTGTAAATACTCCACAACAATCTATTCTTTTACCATTTGTATTTATTTCAGTGAAAGGGGTCGTTGATAACATTTCATCAATTTTCATTTTCTTGCAACGTTTGTATTATTAAAACCCACTAATCACTGTGTATACTCCACAACAACTTATCCATTAATCAATTAGTCAATTTTTTAGGTTAATTGGTATTATTACTTATTAGCGTACAATTAAATCAGATTACCATTAGGTACACGTAATTAAGTTACATCCCTGGTTTGTCATCATTAACTTAGCATTGTGGTGTACATGTATATATTGTCCTGTCATATTTTCATTTTTTATCATAGCTTGATAATGACTAGAGAAGCCTAGTCGAAACGTCGCTCAGTAAAAAGCAGTAATTGTATTCCATAGAATTGTGACCTGTATACTCTAGTTCAATTACTAAATGCCATTGAAACAGAACATCAAAGTTGATTTGAATTGACAAATAATTCGTGTTTTCAACGTGTAAGACTTAGGATGATATTGAGTTAGAGACTTAGCTACTTTAAACGCAAAAATGGATAATCAAGACTTTTTTTTTCCATTTTCGTCACAATGACAATATTCCAGTTACATTTACTATTATTTAACTATTATAGTGAGAACTGTCACCTCTTTATGTTATTTTCCATAATGTATCTTTAAGTATTTAGTAACGCGGGAATAAATCTTGCAAAATAAAATTCAATCAACTTATTAAGGTTGGAACACCAATTGACATCTCTTGTTATTCTTATACACTCAACATCCTGGCATGTCCAGATGACTAAATCACATGATGTTTTATTTGTAATATGAAGCTGGCTTGGTATTTGATGGTAATAATCATGGTCTTTGCGGAGAGTCAAACTGTTATCTTCTTCGAAAACTAAAATATATTGACTCAAAATAATAAACATTAGAAGAAACTTTTTACAGATTTTTATAAAACTATAACAACATATTTCTTTTCGATTTGATGTTGTGGACTTTATTTCAGTCTGTTCAGGTAGCCTCCCCCTAAACGCTTTAAATACAAAGATAATTAATCCTAGCTTACCCAGACAGAAGTCTTTAAATGTTGAAGCAGCTTCACATATATTCATTTCCCTTGCTCTGTATGCTAAATTACTACACTTCTGTGGCTTAATAATTCCATCTGGTGATGCGCCAAGAACCCCAGACACATGCAGCTAAATACTTTGTATGAAATGAAATACAGCTTAACTTCCATCCTTACTAAAATTGGTAAGATAACAAACATAGTCTCGATTATCCATTCCATGATTAAATGATGAATGAAAGTTGAGCAGCAATTCAGATCCTAATCCAGTAAATGTCACAGACTAGCGATGACATCGAGAGTTGATTATGGTCTGGATAAGTTAATTAATGTCTAATTAATAATTAGATAACATTTCAGGTCTAAAGAAATACCTAAGCAACAGGCAGATGTAGCTCTTGCGTAATGTATGTTTTAATACAAATTCCAAGCAAATTGCACTGTGGGGAATTTTTTGGGTGGATACATAGATTTGTGATTTATGTCAATTGAAATACATGAGTAATACTTGTTTCACAAAGTATAAAATTACAGTACCTGTTTCTTCAATGACAGTTCCAAATGTTTCATTGTAAGCCTTTATAGCTTCTATTTCATGATTAATTCCCCATGAAATACTCCTGATTGCCTCCAAATTATAGGCAGATAGTAACCTCTTTTGAAGGGGAGATGTAAAACTAAAATAAATTACTTAAAATTCAGGTTGTAACCCATTTTGTGCATATGTCAATGGTCCATAAACATTGTACCCTTAAATGTGAACGAAATGTGTGAAGCAAGTGATAACCCCATGAGTATTCATCTAAATTCTTAAATCCCGTCTTCATTAGCCCAGTTTAGGAGCAAAACAGTAGGACGTTAAACCCCATTTCATTTCATTTCTAAATTCTTAAATCACTTTAAATTTTAACAAGCGGTTTCCGTGCAAGATACGACCACATTTTGCAAGAGATGGACAGAAAAAAAGGCGATTTTTTGTCGTAAATCAGGGAACATAATCCAGGAAGTTATGGTCCTATCTGCGCAACTATCAGAGTTATTCGAAATCTCTCGGATATAAAACATATTTTAAGTTTCATCAAAATTATATAAAAATTCTGACCTCTAGAGTGTCCCCAACCTTCATATTACATACTTTAACATTATTTGCGTACATAGAGCGGTTATTTGGACTGGCAGGTTTTGTCTGATTTTCACGTAATACTAACCCAATCATCATTATGGTCTAACGGTGATATATTTGAAAGTTTTATTTAAATCAGAAAAAAATTATGACCTCTAGGTGGGACCACAAGATGTAAACGTGATTTTTCGATCAATCAGGGGCCATAATCCAGGAAGTTACAGTCCGATACATGCCAATTTCGAAAGGAACTGAGGTCTTTGGTAGATACACCTATATTTCAAGTTTCGTTAAAAGTCCTATAAAAATTGTGACCTGTAGAGTGTCCACAAACAAAATGTGAACGGATGGACTGGGGCGGCAACAATATACGTCCATTGTGACCTCTAGAGTTTCCACAAACAAAATGTGAACGGATGGACTAGGGCGGCAACAATATACGTCCACGTGAAAATGTGGGCGAAAAAACCCCACTTATTTACCTATTTCTTTTTATTGCACCTAATACCGCACCAAAATTTGAAGCAGTTATCCTGTGCTTCCGTGCAGCAGACCATAACGGATTTTTTCTCTGACCAACATTCAGAGAAATGACCTTTGAAATGGTGTCTGGTGACAAGATAATAGTCTGGTCGGGGTAGAAAATTTGTGGGAAGAAATTCCTACCCAAATGATTTCTTCATTTTCTGAAACAACTATGTCCATAGTGTTCCAGAAAAAATTTCCCCGCCAATCGGAGTTGAGCAAATTTTTGTACAGCATTTTGAAATTTTGACCCCCTTGGTCAACATAATGAAACTGAAAACCATTTATAACTTCAAAAATATCAATTTTACAGCCTAGAAATATATTATCAACAGAGGAAAGTGATACCAAGGAATCCAGAAATGACGTCAAAAGTAACGTACGATGTCACCGTGACGTCAGAATACAAAATGGCGGAACTATGACGTCACTGTGATGTCAAAATTCAAAATGGCGGAGACGTGTTGTGAATAAAGCAATAACAGCAAGCAAATAGACAAGAGGAATATTCTGGACACCATAAAATATTCATTCGGATCATTTGTTCTACCCCGTACCAAATTCATCTTCTAAGTCAATGCTGATTTGTTCGCTATTGAGACAACCCTCCCCGTGGCATCCTCCACACGCTTCAACACATTTCAAACCATTCTGTGTACAAGAACATGACGAGCATTGGTGTTTCAACGGTTTACATTTACACCAGATGAAATTTAGAACGTTGTCTGGTGCTGATGGAAGAACAGTCGCGATGGGAACGTATCTATTATCTATCACTTGCCAACCCCAATTCACAGGATCGACGCCATCGTCTAGTTCATCCCAAATTCTAACCTGAACATGAATGCGGTGAGCATGCTGCTCGGCCGCGGCAGCTGTTGGAGGAAGTCTATTGATTTGAATGGAAATTTTTTCAGCAATCATAGCTTTGTACCTTAGGTACCGGACTTTAGTCAGAGAAATCTCATTTTTGTGACCATACATTGACATTGCACAGAATAACCTTTCCCCAGCTTCAGATACTTCGGACTGGGAACTTCCAGGTGAAGCTATTGTCTTGCTAGCTTCCTGAAAGATGTCACTGTTCGTATGTTTAAGAAGTCCCAATTTACTGAATCCGAAACAACCAGATTTCCCTCGCCAAATTGTCGTATTTGGTTCATAGCCGTCGAACACGACGATTGGCGAGGGAAATCTTTTTACAAATGACCGATAGTTTTCTAAGATGTTGGAGATATTCGTACCCTTATTCCACCTTACAAAAATTAGCAGACCTCCATCAATGACAGTTATTTCACTGGTGAGCGAAGTGTTCGAAACGGGTGAAAAGTTCTTGAGCAAATGCTCAGCGAGATCGGACTTGGTTACATGTATTTTAGTGGTGGGGGGGGGGGTGTAAATAATTTCTTTTTAAATTCTTCAAACACAGAGTGGTTATGCAAGCGAAATGTGTGGAAAAATCGAATTTGACAAACATCAATAAAAAAAATTTATTTGTCATTTGGTGGCGGGCATTTCTTTCAATATGACTGCCAAATTTGGTAATAAAAGGGCAGATATAATCTCAAAAATTTAATTTCGAGAAATCTTGATGGTAGAAATTCACAATGGCTGGCAAAATGAAATCCAAATTGGTGGAATTTTAATTAATCGTCATTTCTTTCCGCTGGGTATGACTTTATGTGGTATATTAATCCCGAAATGACATAGTTGCTCTTAAATAAATAAATTTTAGGTACATTGAAATGTTGGCAGTAAAGATAATATCATAATTTTTAGTTACACATTGTTAACCAACCGCCCATAGATCCTTTAATGATAATAAATCATATACTTTATTCAGCTCGACGCAATATTTAAAATGATTACATGCAGTTCGTTTAACTTGAATGTAGATATTATATCTATGTTGCATATATAGGACCTTTCCGTTGAATCATATCATAGAAGTATCTTATTTCATAGTTTTACGTATTTGTCGACATTATAAAGGTGTACTTGTTCTATTGTACCATTTAGCCTAAACAACTAAACAAAAAATTTTGTAGGAATGTATAGAGGCTTTTATAGATTGAACAAAAAGCTGATAAATATTGAGATGTGTGGAACATGTTCGGGGCGATTTGTAACAAATCTCAGACACGATATATATTTGATACTAGTTGAGCATCAGAACAACATGATTATTTCATTGGAAATGGGGCGCAAATAGCCAAAAGAGTCGGATAAACTCTAAACCAACTGCGTCTCCTTCACTGGGCCCCTTCAATGTCTGTCTACCTGTGGAATAACATGTACATTATTTGTATCTGTTAAATTTGTGCGGTTTATATATTAGATTAATATTATTATTTACCCATGGGCGGGGAGTGATAACGTCTTACCCCAAACAAATTGCAAAAGAAACAAGAAAGTTTCAGAGAGCGATATCTCGTATATCAGTAATGTCACTGATGAAAACTGACACATAATCCGGAATGACTCCAGACCAAAAATCATGGAATTTCAGGCATTTATTTTGCCGGCTAAAAGGCAAAAAGGTTGTATCTCCCAAATTACTATTTACATTTTCATTTTTCACTTTACCCGTCTGCACAAAAAATCTGATTTTTAAAAGCGTATGCAATTTAATAGCGCTTTTATTTGGTGTATCTTTTATTTCACTTTCTTACGAATTAGACTATTCTTATAGCAATAATGTGCGCTTTCTGCATAATAATAATAATAATAATAATAGTTTGTTCAGCTATAATTTTCGTTTAAAAATTGTATTCTATGACATATCTAAATACATCCTTGTCGGGGGCAGCCAACTTCGACACAACAATATGATAGGACATAAAATAGATAGTGAGTAGGTACAAATACTTGGGACCCAAGATGGCGTCTTACTACACTTGAGGTCATATTTTCTTGACGTCATATGAAATTTCTGGCTTCACAGTTGTCGCAACTTTATCTATATACGGCTTTGGTCGTACGTTACTTTTGACGTCATTTCTGGATTCCTTGGTATCACTTTCCTATATGTTGATAATATATTTCTAGGCTGTAAAATTGATATTTTTGAAGTTATAAATGGTTTTCATTTTCATTATGTTGACCCAGGGGGTGAAAAGTTCAAAGTGCTGTAAAAATTTTTGCTCAACTCCGATCCGCGGGGAAAATTTTTCTGGAACACTAGGGACGGAGTTGTTTCAGAAAGTGAAGAAATCATTTGGGTAGGAATTTCTTCCCACAAAGCTGGATTTGTCACCTTCTCCAACCAGCCTATAAGGGCTCATTGTAGCCATGATCTTTGATTTTCTGCTGACTTTAATTCAGTAAATTTTTTGCTCAGGATTATGTCCTCAATAGATGTTATTAATTGTCCATTGTTTACTGGCTCTGGTGACAACAACCATTGTTGATCTGCAAATTTTATTGTTACAAATGTTATTAATATGTAAGTGCAATAACCATGAGTTGAGAGTAAACTTTCAACAAATTTTCGTATCTGAGTTTACCATTTAAAATTTCTAAGCTATTGCAAGTTAATTTTTAACAGACAATTATTTTCTACTTCAATATTCAAAAGGCTGCCCGATGTGTAATAATGTCAAGTTTTACTCAATAACCTGGATCACATTTCGATTCTTCTCTGTCCGGTCATTTTCTTTTGCTTATTTAGGGAGCCATGGTGGCTAGGTGGGTAAGGCTCGCTAGCCTGGAGGTCGTCATGGCCGCCGTTTCATCTTCCAGGATGACAACGCAAGATGTCACAGGGCCAGGATCGTTACAGGTTACCTCCAACAACAGAACATCACCACATTACCTTGGCCAGCACTGAGTCCCGACCTCTCCCCCATCGAGCATGTCTGGGACATGCTTGGACAGAGGTTACGTCAACGTCAACAACGTCCTGCCAATGTCCAAGAACTTGCTGCTGCGTTGCAACAGGAATGGGACAATGTGGACCAAAATGACCTTAGACGTCTCATTAGGAGTATGCCACGTCGGATCAATGCTTGTTTGGCAAACAGAGGAGGATTTACCCGTTACTGACTTGGTTGTGATGCTGTGGTAACTTTGCTGTTTGACCCCGGGTATCATTTTACCCTTATAATGGTCAGTCTGTGCCTTACTTAGTCTAACGATCATTTGGAATAAATCGATGAATGTGAACTTCATTTCATTTTGTCATTTGTTTCTTCGTCAGTTTCATTAGGTGACTTTAATAACACTTAAAAATCAAATATCCCCTACTTTTTTTGAATAGTATATATAGTACAGAACGTTGAAGTAAATGACAAGTACATACATAAATAGCTTCACTGATCTGGAAAAAAACCCTGTCTTATACAAAATATTGAAAGAATTAATTACACAGGTAAAAATAGCGACAAGCATCAGTAGAAGATAATAAAGATAAGGCCAACATAGCATCCTATTTACAATTTACACAAACAATGTAGGGTTTTATGGCAGTGGGGGGAACCCGAAGGTGTAGTAATATGGAGGGAAAGAATTTGTGCTTGCTTTGAAACATCTATGTAAAATAATATTAGGATTTTGATTAATTATTCTCCATTGTCAATATATTAGTTATGGTATAAGTTAAATTCTGAAACGCAAATTAAATTGGCTATGAATATTGTGACAATAACCAGACATGGTGTCTAAGACAAGAATGCAGAAATATGATGGCTAGAACAATAGCGTTATCTTTCATATTATTGATTCTAACTTCATAATCACAAATATGGAAGGTATATGCCTGTTATTTTGATACGTTAACTGAGCTATAGATTAATGAGCATGTTGGTCATTCACATTTTTCTTTGTTATAAAAACATATATCATATTTGTTGACCAAATAAGGTAACAATCCCTATAAAATAGGGTGGGGAAATACGAAGGGGTCATAACCGTAACATTCTTATTTATTGGCGGTCATATTATTCTATTTTAACAACTCTCTCCATCATCACAAATGTTTCAATACATATTGTAATTAATACAACACAATCACGCCCTTGTTTACTTTATAACACGTGAAGAGAAACGGGGAATCGAAAC